CAAAGAAGAATTAAGATAAAGCCGGCCCTGAATAGAAACAAATAGCTGGGGAGGATGCCGCAGAATCTCAGGGAATATAAATTTCTTTATGTTCAGGGGCCAGAAAGCCTCCCCAAAGATGGCTGCCACAGCTGGGCCATCTTCCCAGCTCATACACAGTGAATGATTCCTCCTTCAACCTGTATCTCCTTCTACTGCTGGTTATTAAACATCTCACTCAGTTCCAAATACTATGTCAGCAATCAAGAAAAGTAAATGATAATATGAACAAAATGCTGTCATCATCTCTGCTGCCTGTTCATCCATTCCCGGAATTTCTCATAACCCATTTTTCTTATAACCCTCAGCATATATGTTTATCATCAATTTTTCATGGCAAAATGTGATCACTGGGCACTTATGTCCTCTTATAAAAGGTTGCTTCCCTGGACAAGCTGGGACCTGGTCTTTCTTATCCAGAAAGGCAGCTGCTCCGTGCTCTCTGCATCCTACACTCAGCTTGTGTGGACATGGGCCCTGGCCCATGCACTCTCTGGGATGCTTCACAGGCTTCATTTAAAAGCCTATTGCAGCCTTTAAAAAGCCAAGTAAATTACTTTCACCGAGTTCTGTGAAATAAGGAGACTAGTTTTGTTTACTCTTTCCAAGAATTTAACAGTTAGAATGGTTTCCCCTTCCAGAAAAGTGTCTGTTTATGCTTACCTCTTTATTCTTTCCCCACTTTGTATTATGAGGTCTTGAAATAAGACCTGGAAAACAGCTTTCCTGGAGCTTGGGGTAAAACTCACCACTCCATCATTTTTGGGGATCACTTTCTTCTCTTTACAGAAGATAGAATTAATATTGGCCTCTAGGCCACATTAAGAAACAGCACTTTCTTTTTTTATAAGAACACATGAATATTTCCAACTTTGAATTCCCTGCCTTTGCACTTTAATTTTCAGTAATATATTTGAAACCAAAAGAAATTTTGACTAATTTAAAAATTTTAAGGACTTGAAAGTTATAAAAAACCAAACGATTCAAAAGTGCACAAAATTATAAATGTCCGTTCATACTAGATTTTTATTTACCCTACTACTAACTGGAAAGCAAATACATAGACTTACCTCCTAAACTGTTCATTCAATAGCTTTCGAAAAGCGATATCACTTTTCTTATGATGGCTTTTCCCCAACCCACCTCCTGTTTGTAGGGCACATAATAACCTTTCAATTAAAAGCACATGAATAAATATGCCATAAGGAATGACTATTTCAACCTTACCCTTTCAGACAAAGACATGCTCACCAATTTGCTAAAAGAACAGTTTCTGTTTACAAAATATCATATGGAACAAATTTAAATGGTGCACTACGTGTAGACAAACCCAAAATGTTTGCTTTCACTCATATGCCAAGGGACAATAAAGAGGTGGCCTTGTCTATAACATTTCAGTCTGTTGCGCATGTGCGCAATTTCTGTGTGTTTTGAAACACTCCTATGTTCTGCCTTTATTTGTCCCCAAAGGTGTTTTTCTGTTCCATAACTTTATTTTTAAGTTTAGTTTGATTTCATGATAACCATGAATTCCCACAAGGTTGAAAACTCGGTGAAAGTCAAGACGCAGAAAGAAGACGCATGTTCCAAATATAACCTTCTCATATCACTCCTCCTCCAAGATGGGTGGGAAAAGGACTGATGCCCTATTTCAGACAATGGACAGCCCCAAACGTCACTGGGAAAGCCCATCAGCAGATGAGGACGAGCAATCTCGGCACTTAGACTTCAGGCAATGATTAGCCACCACACTGATAGGCTCTGTAAAGGCTGCGATCCAAATGTGCACTTGTGATGTAGATGTGGTAAGAGCACACTGGTTCCACATCCATCTCTAGTCACAGCTGTTAGTAAGGTTAGTAATCACCATGACTTTAAATACAAAAGAAGAAATGTAGAATGGGTTAAATAATATACACTGGATTATCCAGTGAGGAAGTATATGAAGTGCTGAAGAGCATAGTTCTGGAGCAGACTGAATTTGAACCTGTGCTCTGCTACAAGATCTTGGGCAAGCTAAAGAACCTTTCTGTGAGTCAGTTTCCTCATCTGTAAAACACAGATAATAGTAGCACATATCTCATTGAGTGGCTATGAGGATTAAATGTTTTATTACAAGTTTATGCACCTAGCACAGTGCCAGACACAAAAGTGTTTAATAATTGTTAGCTATTATCATTCATGTAAAGGAAAGTGGAGTGCCAAAGCAAATACACATTGAGTTTGGTTTTTAAACTCTGAGTAATTAAGGTCCTCAAATCATTTGAACAATTACAAACCTCCTTTTGCTTGAAAAATTGATTTAACAAACTCACTGAAAGTTTTTCTTGATTCTCCACCATAAACCTCCTATGGTGTTATTCTGAAATAAAATAGAATGTGTTAGAGTAGCACATGTGGTTTACGTATCCCATATCACCTTGGTCCTGACCATCTCAGTGCATTCCCGTGTGCACGGCAGGCCAAAAGCATGGGGAATTACCATCCTCCAGGAGCAGCCCTTAACCAGTGACCAGTGGGAACTTGTATATGAATAGCCCAGTTTCCTCACCCTCTGGGTGGGATAGGTCTGGGGTGTGTGCCCTGCGTCGGCTCCCAGTTACCCCAGAAGGACTGAGCTCCAGTTGCCCACAGGGTAACTTGTTGATAACACAGCTTTAGTGGCCCCATTCCTGTTACTTCCCTACCTCCCTATTGTGTTTCCTAAAGCTCAAATCTTGTCTGATTCTAGGGGAAACTCCAACTAAGACAGCCAGCAATATAAATACAAAAAGCTAAAAAAATGTGTTTTTAACAATATTCATCTCCAAATTCAAAAAATTATTAAAGTGCACACCAAGCAAATTCAAGAAGTTCCAACTTATTTTACTTTGGGTAGAATTTCTTTTGGGCCTTAGATATTTAACGGTTTCAAGAGAACTTTTTACTTCTTTTTTAAATCTTTGGCTCACAAATGCTATCACACGGTGAACATTTCTAATCTTTATTTCAATCTCATTTGAGACTGGAAGAATGGCTTTTACCTTGTTTGGAGTCACTTGAACTCTGTGGGCTCCAAGCTAACTTTTTCTCCTGCACCTCAAGCTCCATTTGTGCCAACAAAACATGACTTTCTAGTTCAAAAAAAAAATATTTCAAAAGGCTTATAAAAAGGTTTATAAGATGTGTTGGTGTCTGAAATGGCTCTGAGCTGCAGAAATGAATCAGGAACACTCAGATTAAGTTTCCTTTGAAATACAGAGTTTCCAAAAGGAAGGAGTCTTTGGGGGAAAATATTTGTGAAGACTTATTGCTTTGGTTTGTTTGTTTGTTGTTTTTTTGTTTTACTTAAAACATTTGAAGGATTGTTGAAAGTTTTCTCTTCAATAAAATTGCCCCTCTGGGGCTGGCCCCGTGGCCGAGTGGTTAAGTTCGCGCGCTCCGCTGCAAGCGGCCCAGTGTTTCGTTGGTTCGAATCCTGGGCGTGGACATGGCACTGCTCATCAAGCCACGCTGAGGCAGCGTCCCACATGCCACAACTAGAAGGACCCACAACCAAGAATATACAACTATGTACTGGGGGGCTTTGGGGAGAAAAAGGAAAAAATAAAATCTTTAAAAAAAAAAAATTGCCCCTCAATTCTCTTAAAATTGCTCTTAAGAGACAATCATTTCTTAGGAGAATGAATATTTAAAGCTCTTAAGAGAATCAAATTCTTGAGGTTCTGTCAATCCAAAAAAAATGTGTTTTAAAGACCTTAATAGATGTCAGCATATGTTTACATTTATGCCAAATTTGTAAGGTCATTGGTATTACAGCTCATGAAGAATAATTAGTAAGAAAGACTGAAATTTCTTTACATTTTGCAAATTCATTTGCTTGCTTTCCATCAAAGTTAAACTTTTTGGTAAATTATTATCATATCCAAGTGTCTCTATATTTTAAACACTTGAGATTAATTAAATATGCACCAAAAAAAGATATTTTAAAATTACCTTTGTCTATGCATGACTAGGCTAATAAAATAATTCTGTAGAGATTTAAAGATTTAAAGAACTCACTGATTTCATAACCTAGGCTACACAGTAGATGTATTTAGAGCTGAGAAAAATTAATTATAAATGATACTATACATGCCTGTTCCTCAAATATTTTAAATTAATTTGCTTTGATAAAAATGTAAAGTAGTAGGTTTCCTGGTAAACTATTTATTAAGTGCATTTCTTTTTAGTTATTTCTAATATTTTGCCTTAGAATTTGAATGGTCTCTTACTTTTATTTAAGAAGAAAAACATGTACAGTAATTACTTTTTTTGGTACTTTTTTTTTTGTTAATAACATACTCTTCTTCATTCTCACAAACAAATCCTCCTTTCTAATAGTTATCCTTTTTTCTTTCTGGTTATATCTCAGTGGTGATCTCTCCACACTCTTACCCCTAGATACACACACACACACACACACTACAGAAATTTTCTGTCTTTGCTTCTTTCTGTTTGTGTCTCTCTCTTTCAAACTTTCTCTCTTTGATTCTTTCTCTCTACTCCCCCCTTCCCTCTTCAGAATTAGAGCACAAATAAAGTGATTCATTAATTTGGCAAGATTGTGTTTATAAAAGAGAACAAGCAAGAAAAGAGTCAGTTGGCTTTGTAAGAAGAGAACACCAGTTACTGCCATAGGAGATCAATGCAGAAGCTCTTGTTTACATGACAATGTTAAATGTGAGTTTAAGTTCTGGATTATACCTCTCAGAGGGGTGTTTACTTTTTAAATAAGGATAAACCTGTTTATCTGAGGTGAAATACAAGATTAAAAAATTCAGGTATCTAGGGGCTGGCCCACTGGCATAGTGGTTAAGTTTGCATGCTCTGCTTCAGCAGTCTGGGGTTCACGGGTTCAGATCCTGGGCATGGACCTACACATCACTCATCAAGCCATGCTGTGGCGGTGTTCTACATACAAAATAGAGGAAGACTGGCACAGATGTCCTTAGCTCAGGGCCAATCTTCCTCACCAAAAAAAAAATAAATAAATAAAATCAGGTATCTCTGAAATGCAAACACAATTCACTTATTTATGATCACCAACACACTGTAATCAAGGCAGGACTCATTATTCAGTGATCATTGGATTCATTGTGACATATGTTTCTTTCAGCAAGAGAGGGAAAAGCGATGAAACTCACAGCACAGAATGACAGAACACTTAGGAAACAGAATTTTATTTGTTCTTCTGTTGGGAGAGCTAATTACTTTTCAATTTGAGCCCTTATGTCTTGATAAACATATATTAATTGAACCTGATTATTTCCTGCAAAGTCAGAAACATTCAAACATATTTGTGTTACTACAAAAGCTATATAATATAGTGGTGGGTAGTAATGGCTTTAATGAAGTCAGAAAGCTTCAAGTGGCAGAAGCAATGAAAGAAAGGCACAATCAGTATATTTTCTAATTCTTCATTCTAGCTACAAATATTAGCCTATTTGACTCATCAGCCACATTTATAGGTTTATATAATGACTCATTTACATAAACAGGTCTATTTAAAGTGGACAATATCCGGTATCCTGTTCAAATTCAGAAAACAAGGAAAAGAGAGGTTCAAGCCACCAAGAGAGATTTAGATGTAAAGTTTGATTTGAGAGAAACTCAATGAACTGACTAGTGAAATCTGCAACAAATAGTGAACTCAGCCTTAGCCGCATTGGCTGCATCAGAGTTGCCACACTTTTCCAGTCTCAAGGCCTTTGAACTGTGGTCCCTCTGCCTGGGATGCTCTTTCCCAGATACATACACAGCTCTCAGCCCAAATGTCTCATCAGAGGAAGCTTTCCTGACACCCTATTTCAAATATATAAAATAGCAGCCCCCATTTTTGTTTTATTTTTCTTCTTAGCTTCCTATCTTCCCTGACCTGGTCCACATCTACTTTTTAAAATTACTATATGTCTTATCCACTAGCATTTACTTTGTTCCTTTTTGTGTACTGCTTTTGTTAGCTCCTAGAAGAATGTCTGGTGGGGATTAAACAAATATTTGTTGACTTGACTAGAGGTAATTGTGAAGCATTAACATCATTAATTTTGACTAATATTATCTCAATACCAGGTAAGTCACTATGAGAAATCAAATATATGGTTCTTTTCTTTAAGAAGCTTACAATCTATTTGATGAGACAAGCCTGTCACACATTATATTAACTATCTATTGCTGTGTAACAAATTACCCCAAAACCATAGTAGCTTAAAACAATAACCATTTATTATCACATGCAGCTTCTATGGGTCAGGAATCTAGGAGTGGCTTAGCCTAGTGGTTCTGGCTCAGGGTGTCTCATAAGATTGCAGTCAAGATATTGGCCTGGGCTACTGACATCCAGAGGCTTGACGAGCACTGGAGGATCACTTCCAAAAGAGCTCACTCACATGGCTATCAAGTTAGTGCTGGTTGTTGGCAGGAGGCTTCAGTTTCTCACCATGTGAAACTCTCTATAGGGCTGCTGGAGTGTCCTCATGACGTGCAGCTGGATTCTTCCAGATGAGTGATCCAAAAGAGAGAAAAGTGGAAGCCACGACGTCTTTTATGACCTAGCCCTGGAGGTCACGCTCTGTCATGTTTGTGATACCTTAATGGTTACACAAGTGAACCCCACATGAGAGTGTGAATACCAGAAGGCGAGAATCATCTTGGAGACTGGTTACTACACACATGAAAGAAGCAATGAAGCATACATGCCCATGTGTAATTAAGTGCTAAACTGTGAAAACATTCAAGGTTCAATCAATTTTGGGAACTTGGACTTACACAGTTGGAAAGGCTAAGTTAGATGGCAAATTTAATCCTCATTTGGGCAAGGGTGTTTGTTCCAGATACTTTCAAAATATAAATTCCATCAATTAGTTTATTCAGAAAATATCTAATTATGAAATAATTTTTTATTCAATAAATATTTATAAACAATATTGCCTGCTGTCCTAGGTCCAGGGATTAGCAATAAAGCCTAGACCCTGGGAAGGAGGTACTCATGGTCCATTATGTATAAGGTCAAAATTTTGGAGCAATAATGCTTTTGAATGAATTTAAATACTTTGTGCAAGGAGACAAGAACCATCACCCAAAGCCAGTTTTTCTCTGGGCACTAAAAACAGAAATTACAAATACACAAAATAATCCCACATGCGGATGGAAAATAAAATAGACTTCATGTTCTTATTAGAAGCAATTTCAATTTCGTACAAGAAAGGCGGATTTTGAAAATAATCAGCTAAGTATTCTAACATCAAAAAATTCACTGATCATGATTATAATACATGAAGGAAAGCCACATGACCACCTTAATAAAAAGAATCCGTAGAAATTGATCTTATTCTCTAAAGCACCTCTACTTCCCTACCCTTGCCCACATTGGACTGTAACATCCTAGATTTTTAAATTTATCAGTCCACCAAAACGTTTTCCAGCCCAATGATTTTCCACTAGTATTTGTCACAAGAGTGAGTGACCAAAAGGACATTTAGTGGCTAAATCAAGTGTTTCTTTTAACATTTTCTCTTCTCCCTGTCCATTGCCTGATTTATTATTCTTACCTCAGTCGCTTTCAGGCCCAAGTCGGTAGCCTACATTAATGCTAATTTTCATCCCTCTCTAAGGAATTAGGAGAAAAAACTACCATCTCATAGTTGTTTAGTCAATGTTCTTTAAGACAAAGATTAACCCAGTGCACTGTTATAAGTAACATAAAATTCAAGTACAAACCAAACCTCAGTCTAACAGAGAAAAAGACCCTTTCATATACCTCTGATGGAAGATAAATGGTAGATGTAAAAAGCCTTAGAACTGTGCAGACACTCTGACTTATTAGCTCCTCTTCCGGAAATGACTTGGAAAAAAAAGAATGTATATAAAGAAGGCATAAGGATGTTCATGGCAGAGTGGTTTATAATTGTGAAAACATGGAAACAAATTAAATGTCCATCAAGAGAGTATTTCATTGTATGGATTTAAATACATAGCAATAGAAATACTAAGCAATCATTAAAAATCATGTTGAAGAACAATATTTTATGGCATAAACATATATTCACAATATATAGTTAAAATAAAAAGGCACTGAAAACAATTATGTGATTGACATTTCATATGTGCTTTTAAAAGTATGTATTTACTTGGAAACAAGCTGCAAGGATTTTTTTAAACGTCAACAATGATTTATCTGTAGTTGGTAGGATTGCAGGTGACTTGCATTTTCTTATTGAAATTTTCTCTTCCTTTTTCAATAAGCATGTGTAATAGATGGATTGCATTAAAGGCCCAGCTCTATATTCACTGACTCTGGCTCTGGGATTAGCCGTGTGACTTGTTTTGGCCAACAGGATGTTAGCAAACGTGATGAAAGCAGAGGCTTGGAATGCACTGACAGAACAAGGCTTACTCTTGCTTTTGCTCCTCTGCTATTGCTACAAGAACATGCCTGGGCTAGCCTGTTGGAAGATGAAAGGTGGCACACAAAACAGAGCTGAGTTGCCCCAATTTCCCCACCTGACACTGCCCTAGATCATCAGTTGCTAGCTGGTCCCCAGATACGTGGATGAGCCTAGAAGATCAACAGAACCACACCTAAGTAGACCTGCAGCTGACCACAGACACATGAGTGAGATCAGCTGAAAGTAACCAAGTAGGCTGAACGCTGCAGGCTCCCAAACTAAAAAATGTGCTTTGTTGTTTGCCACTGGCATTTCGGGGTTGCCTGATACCCTGCATTACTATAGCAATGGAAAACCCATGGAGCATGTGTCTGCTGTCAGGGTTGGGGGAAATGGAAGAAAAAAGCAACAATCACCTTAGGTTCAAACCAAAAATGTTTAAGTATAAAACTTGTCAGAAAACATTTTTGAACAGGCTAGATTGGCAGAAATTTGAAAATCAATATAAAAATAGAACTGATGCTCTAACATGTGCAAGGCACTATGCTATGGTCTGGGAGAGTCACGAAGTGGAAGAACACGTAGTCCCTACCCCCTGGAACTCACATTGCAATAGTGGGAATCCCTCTTGACACAGACAGCATTCTCCGAGAGTTACCAACAATTGTATTAATATGCTACAGCACCAAAGAGCTTTAAATTGCTGACGTTGGTTAAAAATGCATTAGCTCTTCCCCAACATGATTTTGAGAGGACAGTAAAATCAAAAAGGCTGCTCTAGCCGCCCGATGAACTTGAAGTAATGAGGCCTATAAGTTGACTTGAACAGAAGAAAAGGATATTAAGCTTCCATGGAGGACAAATGAAAGTATCTACCTGTAACCTTTCTGACAACTGGAGACCCTTTGCCATTTAAAACTCTGCGGCTGTGTTGCATTATTCCCAGGCAGGCGAAAGTTTAATAAGACTTGTGGAGAACCTAACCTTCCAGTCCCTGGCTGCCTGCTGGCAACCCTAAGGCGCTCGCTGTGGAAGCTAACAATCTGAGCTAACATCAGGGCACGGATTTCTTCAGACACAGGGGCATAGGTTGGCATAGTAATGTCTGCCCACTGCCCCCACCCATCTGCTCCATGCATGCAAATAGCAGAAAGATGTGATTCCAAGCCAGTCGCAGCACCCAGCACCCTTGGGTGTTTAATCTTGGAGATTCTGGTGGTCATTGCTCTTCTCTACTGCAAAACCTGGCTCCCCTGCTGAACGAAGGTGCTGCCCCTTTAGTGTGATATATGAAGCTTTCTTTGAGCAAAGCCCAGCCTGTCTGGTCCAGCCTTAATGCACAATATTCTTCCCATCACGCCCTCCACCCCCTGCACTCTGGTTACTGGGGTTAGGTATTTGTTCTTCTTGCTTTTCTCATTTCTGTGCTTTGTTCAGCCTGGGACTTTCATCCTCTCCAGCCAGCCCACTCTTCCACCTTCAAATTCTGGCTTTGCTTCACAGGTCTGGTCTCTCTCCCCAGCTAGACTGTAAAAATAGTAACGATAGTTACAGAACATGCAATGCGCCAGGCACCTCACTAGGCACTTTGCGTCTTAATACATTTTATTCTGTTCAACAACTTTAGGAGATCAGTATTGTTATTATTATTATTATTATCATCATCATCATCCCAATTTTCAGATAAGGAAAGTGAGGCACAGAGAGGCTAAAGCAACTTGCCCAAAGTCAGTATCAGTTCCATGGGATTGGAGGTCACATGTAGCTTGTTTGCTATTACGTTACTAGTACCTGGCACAAAACCTGTATTACCATAGTATTGAATGAAGGAATGCATGAAATGTCTCCATGAAGCTGTTCCTGCAGTCAGAATTAATCTCACTCTCATTTGCTTTCACCTTTCCACCCTAGTACTTAACACATAAGTGTTTAACACATACTCTCATAAGGTTGGACCCCAATTTCCAAATAATCTCCACTTTCACACATTGCCATATATTCACACTCTAATCCGCCTTTGCTTGGAAGAAGTCAGGCTTTCACAGATAGGTAATTTCCAGCTCTGGCACCACCTGAGAACAGCTGCTGCTGAGAGATGGTGCCAGGAGTCCTTGGGAGTGTGGGAAGAAGGACTGTGAGCAGAAGTTGGAGGCTGCTTGGCCAACCTCTTACCCTAAACAAGCACCCTGGCCCCTCTGTAGTGAAGGGGCTCCAAGTGCTTGCCAGCTCACTTAGAGCCACCACCCAAGATGAGTGTCCCTTGCCAATCTCTCCTCCCATGCCTCCTATATCTTGACTTCATCCATAGTAACAGCGGAGGTTATGGAGGAAGAGGGGGCAATGGATTGCAGCCAGGCAACTAAGCAGGAAGTGGAAAGGGGAAATGGTGGTGGTCATATGGAGTACCTAAGGTCTGATCCAATTGTGCTGGTAGGATCACTGAATCCCCTCAGGCCAAGCACTAGTGGGGTTTAAAGGTCAGATGGCACTGTCATTGGCCCTCTCTGCAATTCAAGAGGAACCAAAGGAGGAGTTTGAGAGGGGAGTTCTAGTTCTGGCTTAACTTTCTCCACGACAGCTGTTGGCAGCCCAGCTCTAAAGTTGTCTGTTGACCTCATACTCTGTGAGTATTTCTCACCTCTGGCAGGGGACACCAGAGACTGAAGGAATTGTATTAAGGGATTTTTAAATTACTGCCCCTTAGCTCTCTGGGAAGAGAACTCCCTTCTGCTTTCAGACACTCAATTTTCAAATGGACTTTCTGCACTGAGGACCACTTACATTTGTTTACATTCTTCCATCACTAGATTGTAAGCTCCAGAAGAGAAGGGAATGACCACATTCACATTTCTCTCCTGCCTTCTCCTTTCTCTCTGCAAATTGCAAAAGGATTGTTTTATAAAATTTTAAATTTATGCAATTTAATTGCATGTAATAATAAGCAAGTGTCACTGCTAAAATAGATTAATTCTGATCATATATTTTGGTGAGCTTCCTGGCATTCAAACGATCTTTGGAGCCAGGGCCCAAATTCCAACTTGCTGGAAGAGGGCATGCTTGGGCTCCCTGTGAAAGGCATTCATACATTTACTAGCATGCATCCAAAATGACACAGAATCCTGCTACTACCATCAGTATTAAGGCTTTTTTCCCCTTTCCTTTTTTAACTTAATGTCTGTGAAGAAAGCAAAGTGATTTAAAGCCATTGGTAAAATTCAACAGTGAGATGTCCCTTAGAAGACAGACGCTGTTAACATACTTATCACAGAGAAGACCATAATGCTGCTAGCGATGGTTTCCAAAGATTAATTTTAAAAAAGAGAAAAAAGGAATTCTGATATTGATGACTAGTAGATGGAGTAATACAAGAATAAAACAAGTGATCATTTCAAATCTGTCATTACATTTTATCTCAGTAATTATTAATTGCAATGTACTTAAACACATACTTGGTTTCCTTCTGAAAGAATACATAGAAGGTGATTTATAAGGCACTTAAAATATTTCAGATAAAATATCTAATTTATTCCTCAAACAATGCTTTGCTTCAGATAGTTCCAGCTCCATTTTACATATGAGGAAACTAGAAGATCATTCCACCATCCAACTAGCAACCGGATGATTAAACAATACAGACAATAATCAAGGGTGTGGGATCTGGAACCAGACAGAAATGTACTCAAATTCTGGCCTTTCCATTTACTGGTTATATGACTTAGACAAGCTAGTAGGTAAAATACGAGCCCAAACTTAGATTTTGCAACTCAAAATCCTATGACACAATACCAAAGTGCAAAGGAAGGCATGGGGAACAGAAGGGGAGTGGGAATACATGTGTACTTTTCTTTGCCAAATAAGACATTCCACCATTGTGGGCATATTTCCACTCTATGTGATTATTATAGAGTCTAAAAACACTTAAAAGGAAGAAGTAATCTACTCTTATAAACCCTTAGTGATATGTTGGTGGTGTTGGTATCCCATTTATTTATAATCTCTATACATGTTACCTCCTTGATAAAGCAATCTGAGGCAGTTTATAATAAAACTCACCACTGTGTGCTGGTTAGGTAATGGGCACTAGCTGAGGGGCCAGTCTGGGCCAGATCTAGACAAACCTGGGAAAGTCATGGGACAGAAGGCCTTGGGCTAGCACTCTGGGTTCAATCCAGGAGGCATGACTATAGATAGTAGTTCCACTCTAAGGAGAAAATATCAAACGGGCTAGATACAGCTGGAAAGCTGACACCACAGCTTGTCTGTGAAATTGTTGCTGGAACCAAGAAGCCAAGTGTACAAGTTAACTCTTGCCACAATAATGCTGTATAACAAAACATCCCAAAACTCGGTGTCAAAAAACAACAATCCTTTATTCTATACATCTATAGATCACCTGGGGCAGCTCTGCTTCATTCTGCAGTTCCGTGGGTCTGGGTCTTCTCCACGGTCTTTCATCCTCCCTGATTCAGAGGGCTTGGTAAGGCATGTTCTTCTGAAGGTGATGGCAGAGGTACAAGAAGAAAAGAAAAAGCACCCAAAGCCTCTTAAGGCCTTGACTAAAAATTGGTACCATTGCTTCAGCCCTATTTTATTGATCAAAGCAAGAAGTCAAGCTCAAAGTCACAAGGCAGGGAAGTACATTCTGCCCATGATAGGGTCATGATAATGATGCACTGCAGGAAGACACAAAGAACTTGGATCAATAATTCAATAAATTACTATCCACCTCTTTGGCCACATTATTCGTATCCCTCCAATATGAAAACATTCCCCATCCCCATCAATGGACACCCATAAGTCTCACCTAATCATGGTATCAGGCTCAACATTTCGGACTTCATGATCTACATCAGGTCCAGACATGAACTGGACTTATGAACTAAAAAGACAAATTATTGGCCCATCCCATGGCCACACCCACACAATATGTAGTAGTATATGGAAACAGGATAATCACAATAAACACCTCCATTCAAAAGGAGGAAACTTGGTCCTTAGCCAATTCCGAAATTAGCCAAGGCAATTAGCCAAGTTCCCCAGCTATGGGAGTAGAAAATATTTCTTCATTAGACCTGGGTTCTATTCCCAGGGGAAGAGGAAGCAAGCTGGGGTGGAGAGGTGGTAGGGAAGATCTCCAGTCCATTGTTTTCTACAGCTCCTGGCTCTGTCCTCTGAGATATCCTTTCCTATCATCTTCCTCATTTGCTTCTGAAGAAGACATTGAAACTTAGACCTCTTTTTGGTGGCTAAGAAGTTTCCCCAGGCTGTTTCTTGCCTATAGAAAATTGGAGGCTTGGAGGTCTTTTTTTTCCCCTCAAACAATTTCAGTCTCTTTTAGTTCAGGCTGGTAGTACTATGGCAATATCATTTTCTCTACAATTTAGTGGGTCTTCTATGTATTTGATTCCAGTTCATTCCATGTGTCAAAATCACATTTTTGTCCAGACATCCCTCTCTCTCCAGATGTAATTACTAGCACTTTGGGCACAGTACCATGCCTTTTAAGATTTATAGGAGGTTTTGTCCAGCTGAAAGATCTACTAAAAGTCACTTTGTAATATTTTGCAGTGTTACAGCCACACCTCTGATTGGGTCTTTACTCTGAGGCCATGTTTTCCTGCAAACCACCTGGATTTGGTCTTTGTCTTTTCTGTTATAATTCAAGAATCATGCCCTGGACTTGATCTCAGTCCCCAGGCCATATCCTAATTTGAGAATCTCTTTCTGGGCGGAGAGGCTGAAGATAAGGAACAGTTTTATTTTCTTACCTAGCATATTCCAAGCTGCTTGCAATCCGTGTTTTCATTTGTTTGCTTGTTTTGTTTTTGAGCATCTCTCTTTATTGTAGTACTTTCCAATATGCATCTAAAAGCAAACAACTCATTCTTTCAAAATTTTCCTTGGAAACTATTTTCTCCTCTGCCCTTTCATTTGATTATGCTGCTCACCACTTTGAGTGCTTATTCTATGCAACAAATCAGTGGGTGGAAAAATTCTAACATTTAGATTTGTGGACAGAGAATGTCCTACTTAGACCTTAAGACCAAATTTATCTGTACTAACCAACTTTTCTAGAACTCTATTGAGAGGCATCAAGAGTTGGCTCAGCCCTAAAGTACTTAAAAATTTTTAATTGTACTATGTCTAGTTCTCCTCTTGGGACCCTATAGGGAGACGAAACGATAGGGTAGGATTTGGATCTTTCTAGGATTTTCAAAATCTTACCTTTGTCCCTTGGAAGGGCCACAGGTGCAAATGCTACTGGTCTGGAAGTATCTGGAACAGAATTCCACCACTTGTTATCCTCAATAAATGGTGGAGTCATGAAATACCAGCTATTTGATAGAGCTATTAGATGGTAAAATGGTTTGGTTCCATCAGAAGCACTAGACAGGTCACTCAGTTTCATTAATGAAAGATTCCTCCAGAAAGAGCTAACCACCATTTTTTCCCACAAAGGCTCTAGACTGATTACAAAGTTTATGATAGTGCCTAGGTCTATTAGTAGATGGATGAACTGTCTGTGGCCCATCACCCTCCACAGCAGAGCTAGTAAGTTCAAGGCTGTAGAACTACAGACGCTTTCAAGTACATGGGTACTTCCCCCTTTATCCCACTAGTGGAAACAAGAGACTAACCTATCAAAAGTACACAGCCTGTTCTCAATAAAGATAGACCTAAGCCTCTGACCACTAAAAATCTCTGCATAAATTCAGCTTCCAGCATGGAGTAAACTGACCAGGACTTCCTGGAAAATAAGGCAACAGACCTGGCTTTGGTGCTTAACTCTCCAGGGTCTGCAGATCTAACTAGGGACTCAGATTTCAATAGATCTAGACCTTCCATAAGTTCATGGAGGCTGTAGAGTAGGAGGGCTTGGCCCAACTCATTCCAAAGAGGATCAGTCAGCCACTTCTCAAGCTGGACAAAGAGGGACTTTTATTCTAGCCAAAATGCTTGGGCAGAAGGCCCTGACATACTGCCTTATACCTTACATATCAAACTTGATATAACTAGTGTACTTAGAAGTTAACTTCCCTTGGTGGGCAGGATGCAATTTCCTTAAGATGTTCTCCTTCGGGCCTCGCAAGAGGCTCTAGCTATAAATGTAGAGTATTAGCCACCTTTAGGTCTTCCCTAGAAGTCAGCTAATCACATACAGTCCTTGGTCTCAGTTCCCCAGAAGCAGGTATGTCACCTCAGGTTCTGTTGAAAGGAGCATGTTAGTCCACTAGGCATAGGAGAGGCATGGCAGGGGCAGTCAAAAGAGAAATGCTGAGTCAACAATAATCATAGCCATAACTTGCATAGTTTTCTACGTGTTAGGATTGTTATATGCTTCTTATGTACATTAATATGTTTCCTTTCACAGCAACTTCCACTTTATAGATGGAAAAAAGCCTAGACTCAGAGAAGTTAAATAAATTGCCTCAGGTCTTTCAGCTGGTAGATGTCAGCACCAGGATCTGAAGGCAGGCATTCCATTTCCACGGTCCCACTGCTGTGCCCTGGTCTATGTTATATGGCCTGCCTCTGAACATGGGATATGTACCAGTAGGGTGGCTTTGCCAGCCATGCATGATTCTTAGCCCTGAGGACAGAGATGTTAGTTGACTGTTCCTTCATCTCTTTCCCTGGGCACATTCTACCTCAAAATTTGAAAGCCTGACATGGATCTCACATGGATCTCACATGGATCCAGGATTCCATGAGGAGGAAAGAGACTGCAGTTTCCTTTGCAGACACAGCCAATCTAAATGTTTGTTCTCAGAACCATTTTGAGCTGCTCAAGTACTCAAAGACTTCAGTGGAAATTCCAGACTTCTACAACTCAGAACATAGCAGAGACGAATTGTCTGGAAACTTCAGTATCTTACCTATGGAATCTGACTTTGATGAGCACTGGCTGTTCCACCAAGAGGAATTAGCTGCAAGTGATCTAACTGATCTACTAGGTGGAGGGTTATATCAAACAACTGAATGGTGGATAAAGTCTTTCAAATACAATTGTAGTCATTTTTATAATTGATTCTAAATAGTAACAAAAAGTGGGAACAATTACATCTTGTAGGCTGTGAATAGAAAATCATACCACCAAGAAAAAGAGGAATAACTTTTCTGAATGCTGTGGAGTAAATTCAGCTGGAAGAAAAAAAGGAAGCCTTAGCCTTCACTGTTTAATACCATGTAGAATTTAAATGTGATGTGTTGAGGCACTATTCCTAGTCACTCTGGTTCTTAGAGTGGTATTGAAATGCAGGCTTTGTCAAAGCGTGAATAGCTTAGAATCTTCGCTGAACTCACACACTTTGGCCCAAACTTGGTATTTGTTCCATGTTTCTCATCTGCATGTATTCCTACCTCATTGTGAATACCAGAAACCAGGAGTTGTTCCTGACTCCTCCCACTGTCTCATCCCTATATCCTATCTCTAAATCATGATAATCCATTGATGTTAATTTAGCTGGAATCTCTAAAGATTCTTCTCTCCACTGCAGCACCACCACATTTCAGACTCTCATAATCTTGCAACTGAATTCCCAAAGTAGTATCCTAACTGGTCCCCTGACTCCAGTGTGACTCCTTCTCACTCCATTATTCACACTGCTGCTGGTGTGATCTTTCTGAAATGTGAAAGTGATTCCACTGTTTAAAACTCTTCACTTGGGCCCTATAATTTTCAGGATACATTATAAGCTCCTTAGCCTGTGTACACAGCCATCTTCATCTGCTGTGGCTTATCTTCTCACCCTCACACGTCACTCCAGCTAATTCAACTAACAGCAGGTCCCAGATTGCTTTTTTCCTCTCTTTAAGCTTTGTTTTTGGTTTTTATGTGCTTGGAATGCCCTTTCCCCAAACCCCCACCTGAAGGGAGAGAGACTGGCAGAGAGAAAGAACCAGAGCTGAAACTAGAGATGAATGTGTATATATACTCATTCTGATGTGAATAGAACAAGATCTAGAAGAACCCTCACTAAAACTGTTCATCAGAATCCATAAGGAATGGGGTTTCAGGGAAGAAGTTAAGGGAGTGGTATTACATGATGTACTTTTTACATTTCTATATTGTTTGCATTTTTAAATATTGAATACGTTTAACTTATCTCTACATATTTTAAATTACATTTTCCCATCCTCATCTCCAGAGATACTGATTCAGTGGGGAAGGGGCCAGGATTCTGATCTTACAAAGACCTCCACAATCTCTGTTAATCAGTCAGTTTTGGGAACTGTGGTTGAAATGACCGTTTCCAACATAATAAGAAAATATATATTTTTGTTTTTAAAATAAAGCTCCAACCCTATTGTACAACATTTTTTTTATTATTTCCTTTCATTTTGTAGAGCTTAATTCCACTACAAATACACATTCTCTAAGTATATTAGATTTGAATTATCTCTAGGAATTATAATAACCTTGGCAGCCATTTTAACAGCTAGCCACATTTGAATGAAGAGACTAAATAGTCATTGTAAAGCATGTGTTTCATAAAGTAAGTTTCATAAATCATTTTAAAATAAAGGCAAAGAAGAAAAAAATCTACAAATATAAATATCAGGATATCTTAAATTCTAAATTTTCAACACTAACTTAAATACCATTTGATTGGCTCTCAAAACAATGGACAGTCTCAAAGTATGAAGTAAAAAGTTATTACAAAGATCAAATTTGGTATAATGTATACCTACTTCACTAAACATTTTTAAGTTTTTGACTTTGGGAAAATATAAAGATGTAAATATTTTTATAAATAACTTTTGAAAATATCTATAATGTCCTAAATTTCAGACATCAAAGCATCTATTTCTTTAAATATGTTAGTTATATTTTGAATACATTCTCCAGCTTTTAATTTTATTCCATCAATTACAAGATAGTCCTCTTCATAGTGGTTTTCAAATGGACTGCCTGCAGGAGCTTCAGAGCTGCATTTAGATAACTGTAAAAATAACCATACAACAACTCATCAGATCTACATCAAATCTACTTGAAGAACAGGCTTAATTATTTGAACAAAACATAAAGTTGTCAGTAACTCCTCAAGTCACAGCAGTTACACAGTTTTCTGTTATGCTGGTGGTCAAATAATAATCCCCACATATAGTATAACATACAGTAAATGTGTTAGTACAAGAATAACATTATTTAGGTCCTGTCTCTATTCCCCAACATTGCACGTCTTTAGTTTTAACTTTATGCTTTGGAAAAATGTGATCACTTAAATTCTGTGAGTTTTCTATATTTGTTTAGTTTTAAAATTATTATTATAGGGAATACAACTTAAAACTGTTTTAGTCACATTTTCTGTGGTCATCTTCTCGTAAACATTTACATTACTTAAGAATAGTGATAGTTTGCTCTAGTTTGTGGCAAAGGACACTGGTAAAAACAATGCAAATGCACATGCTCATATGAGATTTATAGCTTCAAGGTTAATTAAAGCTAGAGTTAACTTTCTATAAAATTCAAAGAAAAAGAATATACATGTAGTTTATACAAGTATTTTCATACATCAAAAATGTACCTTTTAATACAAATATTTATTCAGTAAATTCTGTCTTATTTGTAAATGGATTATCTAATTTGTGAATTATTCAGATGCATTTTATAAAAATCTGAAATTAATTTCCTGCCATTGCTTGCCAAGTCAGGGCATGTCAACCAGTGTTAATATTAGCTAAAGAAGAACATAATTAAGGTGATTCTACTGAGGAAAATAATCTCATAGAGTATTTCAATGACAAATAGAAATGAATTTTGATTATCTGTGTGTGTATACTTTTTTCATGTTGCTACTCTCATCCACTGGTATAAATGCTTGAGAGTAATCAACTTGAAACTGAATACGTGAAATGAATGATGAAAACATCATCCAATTTACGACTTTGAGAAAAGCTCAAACAATATCTGCTCAGAAAATAAACATGCTCAGAACTTAAAAATTATCAGGTGGCTCTTTCTGGCGTGTTAGTTTATAAGAGGCCACTTTCTCCTAGAAACAAAACCCACCTCCAGTTTTAAGGGGTGTTACTTTTGGAAGCCATATTAATTTTTCCTACTAACTAAACTAAAAAAGAAATCCATGGGGTGATCATTTCTTTACTTTTAAACTAGAAATTGTTCCAGTTTTGCTGGTTGGTTTCCTTGCTATTCTCCTCATTTAAAAGTGAACAAGGCCCTAAATATTCTGAACCTGGCATGAATACCAGACTTACTAAGCTCAGTGTGGAGAGTGGCTTATGAACCAGACAGCAGGAGGCACTCAGCTGCC